GAGGCACACCGTCCAGATACACGTGAACCGAGACCAGAGACACTCGAGAAGCTGCTGGATGAGGAGGCTGCGACTCGCTCGCGATTTTCGTCGCGAGGTTTCTCTCGACGCCGCCGCCCGCCACGCGCGCGACGACGATATGCTCCGGGATCGGGGCGAGCGGGATGCCCGGAATGCCTTCAGGGGGGGGGATGCACGCGGGAGGGAGGCTTTGCATCGGAGGTCGCAGGTTGTGCGAAGCGGCTGGGAGGCAGCAGCTCCCGGTTCGTGTTCGAGGGAATGATTCGCTCTGAAATTGTGCCGCGGCGGTTGGGGTCGGCGGAGAGCTGAGGTCGCGTATCGTAGTCGGAAATAAATGCTCTAAGATTGAGTATCGATCGCATACTTTACCAACAATAGGTATTTTATTGTATATGTCGTTGGGTTTTGTGGAATTCGGGTGGATTTGGAATCTCCCTAGGGAGAGACAGGATTCCGCTAAACCCGCGGGTTAAGCGGAATCGATGTCGTGTCGATGTCACTACACCCTATGGAGATCCCACATATCCCTGTCTCGAAGATTGCCCTTCCCACGGCTTCCTCCGCCGAGGGCAATTCTCCTTTCGTTTGGGTCGGTTCTCCCTGCCACTAACGGAGAAAGAGCAGCTCGGAAGACGGCGGTTGCGTCGACGACGGCTTCGAGGACAGGAAAAAGCTATCACCAGTGGGATCCATCTGCGAGTGCAAGTCTCGTCGCGCCAACAAATGCAACTGTAAGAAGAAAAAAAAAATTGGCATGACGTGCTCATTCGAGTGTCATGGGGGATCTCCCGAATTAAGACGTTGTTAATTGACTCCGCTTCGAATCTCATCGACGTTCATTTTTTTCCTTCATGGACCGACATGAAATTCCATTTTTTTCCGGGTGTCTTCATGATTCTCTTTCTCCCTTGGGGTCAACAAAATGATGGAATCATCGGCTGCTAAATTTTAGGGGGCATCGGCCCCCTAAAAACGTTATCTTGAGGCCTTGGGCCCCAAAACACGAAAATGCTCGACCTGTGAAAACTTTAAGAAGCGGCCATCTTCAGACTGGAGTCTTCTTTCGGCTTTTGGGTGCATATGTTCGCCGTGCATGTAAGTTCTCCGTATTTTTTTTTCCCCCCTTCGAGATGGATTCATCGGCACATCTAGTGCAGGGAAACATCTGAACGAGGGACAAGTACAAAAAATGAAGTACCGTGAACATTCATGTCTCATTATCATTCATTAATTCATATCTCCATCCATGCATGGATAGAGATATGAATCAAGAACTTGTAGCAGCACTCCGATCGTATTCGAGGCCCACAATTCCCGTGCAACAATTTCGGAAAGGGTTCGCATCCTTTAAGAAAAGTCACTGGAAAAATAAGGAAATGAGCTACTTCCAACAAAAAAAAACGAAGGAAATGTCCGAGTCGACTCAATGCGAATATGCACGCGTAATTCACGGCCGACTGGAACAGCTGATGCGATCTGAAACAGGCAGCCGGCTATCGTCAGGGGATTTTTCAATAGGAGGGAAGATTTTTTTTTCGCAATGATATTTAGTTAAAGAGCTCCTTTTTTTCACTGTTCGCATTTTGCACAAGGGGAGAGTGAATCGCTGGTTTTCCTGCTAAAATACTTTGGGAAACATTAATACATCAGAAACCTTAGCACCTCTTATTTTCTCGGAGGAATCTTATGCTCGCATATGAAATTCCATTCTTCATTTGAATTTCATTTCCATTTCTGTCCTGGGTCGCTTATAACTAGAACATTAATTTTGGTATTAAGAATAAATAACTTTGGCCTCACGAAGAAGGATGAGGAAATCTGTTTTGGCAGCAAACGCGTTGAAAGAGAAATTACTCGTAGAGAGTCATACCTGAGAATTAACGCTAGTAGCATGATAACTTGAGGTAGTTGAACCACGAAAAATTGCAGGCATGAGGTGAACCTGTGTGATACTCCTGTGATAAACATCAGAAATAAACTATCACAATGTCAATGCATTCTCTCTCTCTCTATCATGCAGAAATTGCATTCCTGTTTTCAGCCCATAAAAGTGCAAATGAATATTCCACTTCATTCTCGATTCTTTTATTTGAGATATGCTCTCATTTAATCTGAAATGGAAAATGTGAAAGAAAACAAGAAGCAAGAAAAAATAACCTAAACGAGCATGAACACAACCTTTACTTCAGATCGAGAATATGACATGACTAGGACAGCTGACACTTAGTGCTCATTCACACCAGAGAAACTCAAAGGTGGCAGTGAGGCATACTAGTATGCAGGTAATAAATGCCTGAAGGACCTTTAAGTTTTAAAGGCCCTTCGTTTGAAAATTTGATATCGGTGATTGAAAAAATTAATATTCCAATGGATTCAAGAAATACTGCATATACAGTATATATGAACATCAAACATTGGGGCTGCCACAATTTGGTTTTTCTTGATTTTAGCTGATAACTTAGAGGGGCATGTTGGCATGTTTCTTCCATGGATTAGTAAGTTTCTTTGCAGCAAGGATAGTGAGATCCATGCAGATGCGCTTGCGTGTCGTCCTCGGCTCGATGATGTCGTCCACGAACCCTGGAAGAAGAAATTGACCTTGAGTTTCACAACTGCATTACAAATAGGCAAAAAGAAACAATCAAAATTATGCAGAAAAATCTTCATGAAATACTAGGTTGAGGAAAAAATTCGTGCGCCGTTTGCGACATTGAAGGTGAAGGTACGGAGCCACTGAACCTTCACCTTCAACGTCGCAAACGGCGCACGAATTTTTTCCTCAACCTAATATAAGGAAAAACCCTTTTATTTTTTCAAACTTGTCCCGTGGATGGGCTTTTCCAAAAATATATGAATTTTTATTTACTTTAAATTAGCTCATCAAGGTGAATATGGTGGGGGGAAAAACCCCAGATATTGGAGATATGCAAAAATGCGAAAATATTTTTCAATGGCTTTCCCTTCCTTCAACCACAACCTCACATAGATTGAAATTAATAGGCATTACTGCACCTTCTAATTTCAGTCTCATTGAAATGACACTACCTGTTGTCTCTTTTTAAATCACTGAGAGGAATACCTGAAGAAACCAGGAAGCAAATTCATTTGATACCCAATGATTTTTCATTACCTTGAACGTGTAAAAAAACCCACTCGAGTGAAATTTGGAGAAGCTAGTCAAATTGTGCATATTGAAGGAGATGCTGACTGTAACCTCCCATGATATGGCACATTCGATGAGTTTCCTCTATTCACCTACCACCATGAGAACCTGTTCACTTCTCCAAACTGACTCCTTGATAAGTGCATAGTCACGCAATGACAAAATACATTAGGAAGAAATTTGACACATATAATGGGACCATATCAGCTCATGCAATGAAGAAGTTTCAGGAAAACAGCACTCATGAGAGATGTTTGAATTTTAAATTTCAGACTTTGTTCTCCAAAATCATATAAATTAGGAATAAGAAAGTGATACCTCTGACAGCAGCAGGGAAGGGGTTGCCAAACTTCTCGACGTATTCCTTCTCGTACTCGGAGATGTCTCCCTTGCCGTGGTAGATGATGCTCACGGCACCCTTGGCTCCCATGACGGCAACTTCGGCCGTCGGCCAAGCGTAGTTGACATCCCCTCGNATTCGTTAATTCATATCTCCATCCATGCATGGATAGAGATATGAATTAAGAACTTGTAGCAGCACCCCGATCGTATTCGAGGCCCACAATTCCCGTGCAACAATTTCGGAAAGGGTTCGCCTCCCTTAAGAAAAGTCACTGGAAAAATATGGAAATGAACTACTTCCAACAAAAAAAAAAACGAAGAAAATGTCCGAGTCGACTCAATGCGAATATGCACGCGTAATTCACGGCCGACTGGAACAGCTGATGCGATCTGAAACAGGCAGCCGGCTATCGTCAGGGGATTTTTCAATAGGAGGGAAGATTTTTTTTTCGCAATGATATTTAGTTAAAGAGCTCCTTTTTTTCACTGTTCGCATTTTGCACAAGGGGAGAGTGAATCGCTGGTTTTCCTGCTAAAATACTTTGGGAAACATTAATACATCAGAAACCTTAGCACCTCTTATTTTCTCGGAGGAATCTTATGCTCGCATATGAAATTCCATTCTTCATTTGAATTTCATTTCCATTTCTGTCCTGGGTCGCTTATAACTAGAACATTAATTTTGGTATTAAGAATAAATAACTTTGGCCTCACGAAGAAGGATGAGGAAATCTGTTTTGGCAGCAAACGCGTTGAAAGAGAAATTACTCGTAGAGAGTCATACCTGAGAATTAACGCTAGTAGCATGATAACTTGAGGTAGTTGAACCACGAAAAATTGCAGGCATGAGGTGAACCTGTGTGATACTCCTGTGATAAACATCAGAAATAAACTATCACAATGTCAATGCATTCTCTCTCTCTCTATCATGCAGAAATTGCATTCCTGTTTTCAGCCCATAAAAGTGCAAATGAATATTCCACTTCATTCTCGATTCTTTTATTTGAGATATGCTCTCATTTAATCTGAAATGGAAAATGTGAAAGAAAACAAGAAGCAAGAAAAAATAACCTAAACGAGCATGAACACAACCTTTACTTCAGATCGAGAATATGACATGACTAGGACAGCTGACACTTAGTGCTCATTCACACCAGAGAAACTCAAAGGTGGCAGTGAGGCATACTAGTATGCAGGTAATAAATGCCTGAAGGACCTTTAAGTTTTAAAGGCCCTTCGTTTGAAAATTTGATATCGGTGATTGAAAAAATTAATATTCCAATGGATTCAAGAAATACTGCATATACAGTATATATGAACATCAAACATTGGGGCTGCCACAATTTGGTTTTTCTTGATTTTAGCTGATAATTTAGAGGGGCATGTTGGCATGTTTCTTCCATGGATTAGTAAGTTTCTTTGCAGCAAGGATAGTGAGATCCATGCAGATGCGCTTGCGTGTCGTCCTCGGCTCGATGATGTCATCCACAAACCCTGGAAGAAGAAATTGACCTCGAGTTTCACAACTGCATTACAAATAGGCAAAAAGAAACAATAAAAATTATGTAGAAAAATCTTCATGAAATATAAGGAAAAACCCTTTTCTTTTTTCAAACTTGTCCCATGGATGGGCTTTTCCAAAAAGATATGAATTCTTATTTACTTTAAATTAGCTCATCAAGGTGAATATGGTGGGGGGAAAAACCCCAGATATTGGAGATATGCAAAAATGCGAAAATATTATTCAATGGATTTCCCTTCCTTCAACCACAACCTCACATAGATTGAAATTAACAGGCATTACTGCACCTTCTAATTTCAGTCTCATTGAAATGACACTACCCGTTGTCTCTTTTTAAATCACTGAGAGGAATACCTGAAGAAACCAGGAAGCAAATTCATTTGATACCCAATGATTTTTCATTACCTTGAACGTGTAAAAAACCCACTCGAGTGAAATTTGGAGAAGCTAGTCAAATTGTGCATACTGAAGGAGATGCTGACTGTAACCTCCCATGATATGGCACATTGGATGAGTTTCCTATATTCACCTACCACCATGAGAACCTGTTCACTTCTCCAAACTGACTCCTTGATAAGTGCATAGTCACGCAACGACAAAATACATTAGGAAGAAATTTGTGTATATTACCCTGGTATAGTCGAGTACGTTACTTCTTCAAAGTCCTTTTGTCGTGAGTACTCTCTACAAACTTAAAATTTAAAGTCTGAAACAAGAGGTTTTAGTATATTTAATCCTTATTCTTTCTGATACCTCTGACAGCAGCAGGGAAGGGGTTGCCAAACTTCTCGACGTATTCCTTCTCGTACTCGGAGATGTCTCCCTTGCCGTGGTAGATGATGCTCACGGCACCCTTGGCTCCCATGACGGCAACTTCGGCCGTCGGCCAAGCGTAGTTGACATCCCCTCGCAGATGCTTGCTCGACATCACATCGTATGCACCTCCATATGCCTGATACACAACCAAAATATTAATAAATTTCAAATGAATGACATAATAAATCCCACTAGCACAAACATCCCATTATAGTGAACCCTGTAGCTTCGGACGCCTCCTATTTGTGGCCAGAAGTACTCGGTCCCAATCATAAGCTCCATACGCGCAATATGAAAATAACCTTTTTTACTTGGCCACTTGTTGAACACAGCCAACAGCCAAAAATTGTAGACCCTCTCTGCTGGTCATTCTTTAATCCACCCAGAACACAGGAAGGAAAGAAGATCGCCCTTTCATTACCTTCCTCTTATTTTATTCCCCTGCCATGCAGCCTCCCTCCTTCCTCTCTTTCACTTCTTTCTCCCCCCCTTCATTAATCCCTGAATTGACGGTTGCTTGGCTGTCAAGGTCACATCTCCCAAGTTTTGATAGTGAGAGAACTTAGTAGTTCTCACAACTGGACAACGATCAAGAGGGTACGTGGAACGAGGGTAAGGAATTGAGAAATTACGTACTGTCATCTATACGATGTATGGTTTATTTGTAAAATCTTACGTGTGTATAGTTCATCCTGATGTAAATAAGTTCAAAGCGGATGTGTAACAGTCCAGTCCTTATACCAAACAGCTATGCAGTTACTGTTCCAGCCAGACTGCAACATTTTCCTCATTGTGAAAAATATTTTATTCATTTTCATGTTAATGTTAAACCAGCCAATGTTCTTTATTGGCCTTTCTCCAGCCATAATTCTTCATACAAAACATAAAAAGAACTCAATGAGTGGAACACCAGAACATACACATACCTTTCGTGTGATGACGGTGATCTTTGGAACGGTGGCCTCGGCATATGCAAAGAGCAGCTTCGCGCCGTGTCGGATGATCCCACCGTACTCCTGAGCCGTCCCGGGCAGAAATCCAGGGACGTCCACAAAGGTGATGATGGGGATGTTGAATGCATCACAGAAACGAACAAATCGTGCACCCTTCACAGAGCTGTTGATGTCGAGGCAGCCTGGGTAAAATGAAACCAAAATTATTGCTGGCATGCACAAAAACATAAGTAACATCAGCTGTTAAGAGGGAGATTTACACACCTGAGTCAATATAAAAAAGAAATTTCAGAGAAACATCAAGACTTTAATACAGGTTTACATGTTGAATGGAAAATGATATGAACACATCAGTATTTGGTAATGCAAATATTACCCTATCAGCAAGTTCACATCAAAAGTAAATGGCTTGATTCACTAAGGAAACCCGAAAAGGCATCCAATACAACAAGCATGAGTAGCAAATTTTCAAAAGATTGAGGATCTTCACTATTCAACTATTCAAATCATTCAAAGTTAAGTGAGTGTTGCATAGGATGTAGCAGCTCATGCAGTAGTCAGATGAGAAACCAAATGATGATGGCTGATGTTTCAAATTTGATTTCTAACTATGCCATATTAAAAGTAGGGTGAATTAAAGTTTCACGAGGGTCTTCCTCTCACCTGCAGCAACTTTGGGTTGGTTGCCGACAATGCCGACCGTATGGCCGTTCATGCGGGCAAAGCCGTACTACTACAAGAAGCGCATCAAACCGACCTAGAGTTTCTTGAGCGAGAGTAGCTGCTAAGGAACCTAGTGCAGTTCGTACAACATACGTCGGCAACAGAGGTCACCCTGGTGACACAGTTCTGGATCCACCTCCCGGTCCCTGTATTTGAAACAGAAAAATGGAATTTAAAAACAAGATCCCTTTGTCTCTAGTAACCTAGTGTGAAGAGTTTAACGAGACGTCTAGTGATCGTCAATTTTGATTCAATATTTCGACTACTGGTACAGAGAGGGAATAACTACGGATGGATTTGATCCAGTATTAATCCCATCTTGTAAGTCTTAAAAAATAACTATCATTTTCTGGAAAAAAGATTTAAAAAAAGTCAATCATTGAATTGCCAATTCATGAGAAGTACTTATTTTCAGCCTAATTCTAACAGTTGAAGTATCCAGGCAAGACACCATTAAAATTACACACTGACAGGGCTTGCAAAGTTACTTCCAACCAATAAGAAATGTTCCAGGAGGTACAAACCAGGTGTGCTTCAACTTGAAGGGATTTTTGCAGATTTTAATACTTCTTATAAATTCATCCCAATTGAAAGAGTTAAAACAAACATGATAAACAACTCCATCACATTCCACCAGGTCCACATAATGCCTCTGTATTACATCATTACTCTGCAAAACGCTCTTCTCAAATAGACATGCTGTTACGTCCAGGAACACAGACGATGAGAAAATTTTTCTCTCCTCCTTCAATAAAGGAAGCTTGTAACACAATATCATAACCAAAGTAACTTTCTGGGCTTGTCACTCTGGAAATGGCCTCACTCCTAATGGGGAAATTCTAACAGAACATGTGAAAACTAAGAAGAAAAATGAGTGAGAGCGTGAGCAAGAGAGAGAGAGAGAGACCAGGGGTCATCGCAGGGTCGAACAGGAGCATTCTCTCGATTTGAAAGTGGGAGGAAGGGCATGAAGGTGCGGAGGGTGATCAGGGCATCCACGTCATTGTCGAAAGCCCCATGGGCCACTCCAGACAGAGTCGTGTGTGTCTTGGCTCCACCGAGCTCCTCCTGGGTCACGTCTTCGTTTGTCACTGCCTGCAACCCACCAAGTGTATGGTTTCATCAATATCACTTATCTATACAGGAGCTACATATATCGTTGGTACTGTTAAGAAACAGCATCTCAATGATATCGCATGGCATGGTCATTGGATGGCCAGTGGTCACCCTATCTTTAACAAGTAAAAAGTGATTACATAGAGGGGGAGGGGCATGTTGACAGAATCAGCTACAGGTTGGCAAGACTTTCTCTGGATGCAACCTAATGTTTTTTTTAACACATGCCATTCCTTGGGAATAGAACAATTATGTCAATGAGGCTTTCTAGTTTCTACCAACTTTAACCTGTGAATTTTGTGGTTCTGGCATCACTTAGAAACAAAACATACATGGAAGTCAAAGAGAGAGAAAGACAAAATGAAGGAATTAAAAGTAGACTCACCTTGACAACATCAGGTCCCGTGATGAAAAGGTAGGAGCTGTCCCGCACCATGAATGTGAAGTCGGTGAGTGCAGGTGAATACACGGCTCCACCGGCACACGGACCCATGATCAAGGAGATCTGGAGGCAAAAAAAAAGTTACCTAACATAACTAAGAGAGTTCATTTTAATGAGAAAAAGGCAATTATGAGAAAAGGACTGCAAAAAGCATTACACAATAGTCAATAAACACACTTCACACTCCACAGCACACAAGAACAAGACACTAACACACTAAATTATCCTGCAACTCTGAAACATACTTTTATGTGTAAAGCAACCTGGGAACTCATTCATTTATGGCAGGAATTTCAGTTTCATTTCAGACTCATTATCCCATCTGGGCATAACAAGGGATATGCTAACTCACAGATGACAGCAGAGGTGAAAGACCCCAAATGGGAGTTAAGCAATGTGATTTCTGAACAGGGAGCCTGTCCACTAATGAGTGTTGACACATTTTCATGATACATGTGCAACCTCTGATCACATTCTGAGTTAACCACTGCAGACTGATTTCAATAGCTGCTATAACAGTTTCTTCAAAAATGAACAGCAGACATTCAAACAAAATTCCTTCAAGAGACAGAAGCAGAATGAAATAGTGCAACAATGCATAACACAATCTTAAACACTGAACATCTGAAAATGTGACAACTCCATGGAAAACAAAGAAACTCCCATCACATATTTTTTCTCTCAATGCAACAATAATCTTGCAGCATGCACACCATGAGAGCCATGAAATGTGAATTCAATCTCCTTATGCTACACAGAGGCAGCCACCACACAAGTCCTTCCTCCTTTATGCCAAATTCATTTGGAAGTACCAAATGTCAATACCCTTCAGACACTTTCCCTAGGGAAATCCACGAGAGCACAATCGCCTACCTGCGGGATGACTCCCGAAGCCATGACGTTGCGCTGGAAGATGTCCGCATATCCGGCGAGAGATTCCACTCCTTCCTGAATACGAGCCCCGCCGGAGTCGTTCAACCCGATGACGGGGGCTCCGACCAACATGGCCTGGTCCATGACCTGCAATCAAAAATAGTTTTGTGATAAATTACTGAAAATTGTAACCTCGATGTTTAAATCTAATCGATAATGTAGTGGCATTCCTTACAAATAATGTCTGAGCATGGTTCCCTCTCTTTACCAAATGCAATCATGGGATCCTCTTTTGAACTTCTCCTTCACACAGTACCCTTTAAAACTCAAGATCCATTTTGTTCAAGGGAAAGAAATTATAGTGTTCCTCCTCCTCCCGAAAAAGGGCCTCCAGGAGGGCTGGACATGCAAAATTTCAAGTTTCCATATGAGCTGAATTCATTTGATGGAAACTTTTGGAAAAAAGAAACCCACAAAAAAATGTGCCTCATGGGGATGTAGCCCAGAGTTTCATTTTTTTCTGAAACCAGGACCACAGGAGTATGCCATTCATATACGAGTCAAAATTTTCATATTTTCACCTAAGTGCATGTACATGTGGGGGGGGGGGGGGAGCCTTGACAGGCAAAGCTTTAGAGATGTGACAACACTGACCTTGCAGACTTTCTTGGCATGAATGCTGGAGAGACTGCCTCCAAAGACGGTGAAGTCTTGGGAGAAGATGTAGGCAACACGCCCATTGATGAGCCCGTGCCCAGTCACCACCGAGTCACCTGGAAACTATTGGATCACACTTCTCAAATTGCTCTGCAGATCACTAGCAGTTAAAACTAAGTTATAAAGCTGATGACCATGTCTCTCCCTTATTGATGCCTACCTAAACTAGGTCATAATTAGGGTAGAACATTCATTTAAAAAATAACTATCATTTTCTGGAAAAAAGATTTTAAAAAGTCAATCATTGAATTGCCAATTCATGAGAAGTACTTATTTTCAGCCTAATTCTAACAGTTGAAGTATCCAGGGAAGACACCATTAAAATTACACACTGACAGGGCTTGCAAAGTTACTTCCAACCAATAAGAAATGTTCCAGGAGGTACAAACCAGGTGTGCTTCAACTTGAAAGGATTTTTGCAGTTTTTAAAACTTCTTATAAATTCATCACAATTGAACGAGTTAAAACAAACATGATAAACAACTCCATCACATTCCACCAGGTCCACAAAATGCCTCTGTATTACATCATTATTCTGCAAAATGCTCTTCGCAAATCGACACGCTGTTACGTCCAGGAACACAGACGATGAGAAAATTTTTCTTTCCTCCTTCAATGAAGCAAGCTTGTAACACAATATCATAACCAAAGTAACTTTCTGGGCTTGTCACTCTGCAAATGGCCTCACTCCTAATGGGGAAATTCTAACAGAGCATGTGAAAACTAAGAAAAATGAGTGAGAGTGTGCGCAAGAGAGAGAGCGAGAGAGAGAGAGACCAGGGGTCATCGCAGGGTCGAACGGGAGCATTCTCTCGATTTGAAAGTGGGAGGAAGGGCATGAAGGTGCGGAGGGTGATCAGGGCATCCACGTCGTTGTCGAAAGCCCCATGGGCCACTCCAGACAGAGTCGTGTGCGTCTTGGCTCCACCGAGCTCCTCCTGGGTCACGTCTTCATTTGTCACTGCCTGCAACCCACCAAGTGTAGGGTTTCATCAATATCACTTATCTATACAGGAGCTACATATAATATCGTTGGTACTGTTAAGAAACGGCACCTCAATGATATCGCATGGCATGGTCATTGGATGGCCAGTGGTCACCCTATCTTTAAGTAAAAAGTGATTACATAGCAGGGGAGGGGCATGTTGACAGAATCAGCTACAGGTTGGCAAGACTTTCTCTGGATGCAACCTAATGTATTTCAACACATGTCATTCCTTGGGAATAGCACAATTACGTCAATGAGCCTTTCTAGTTTCTACCTGTGAATTTTGTGGTTCTGGTATCACTTAGAAACAAAACATACATGGAAGTCAAAGAGAGAGAAAGACAAAATGAAGGAATTAAAAGTAGGCTCACCTTGACAACATCAGGTCCCGTGATGAAAAGGTAGGAGCTGTCCCGTACCATGAATGTGAAGTCGGTGAGTGCAGGCGAATACACGGCTCCACCGGCACACGGACCCATGATCAAGGAGATCTGGAGGCAAAAAAAAAGTTACCTAACATAACTAAGAGAGTTCATTTTAATGAGAAAAAGGCAATTATGAGAAAAGGACTGCAAAAAGCATTACACAATAGTCAGTAATCACACTTCACACTCCACAGCACAAAAAGAACAAGACACTAACACACTAATTTATCCTGCAACTCTGAAACATACTTTTATGTGTAAAGCAACCTGGGAATTCATTCATTTATGGCAGGAATTTCAGATTCATTTCAGACTCATTATCCCATCTGGGAATAACAAGGGATATGCTAACTGACAAATGACAGCAGAGGTGAAAGACCCCAAATGGGAGTTAAGCAATGTGATTTCCGAACAGGGAGACTGTCCACTAGTGAGTGCTGACACATTTTCATGATACATGTGCAACCTCTGATCACATTCTGAGTTAACCACTGCAGACTGATTTCAACAGCTGCTATAACAGTTTCTTCAAAAATAAACAGCAGCAGACATTCAAACAAAATTCCTTCAAGAGACAGAAGCAGAATGAAATAGTGCAACAATACGTAACACAATCTTAAACACTGAACATCTCAAAATGTGACAACTCCATGGAAAACAAAGAAACTCCCATCACATATTTTTTCTCTGAATGCAACTATAATCTTGCAGCATGCATGCCATGAGAGCCATGAAATGCGAATTCAATCTCCATATGCTACACAGAGGCAGCCACCACACAAGTCCTTCCTCCTTTATGCCAAATTCATTTGGAAGTACCAAATGTCAATACCCTTCAGACACTTTCCTTAGGGAAATCCACGAGAACACGATCGCCCACCTGCGGGATGACTCCCGAAGCCATGACGTTGCGCTGGAAGATGTCCGCATATCCGGCGAGAGATTCCACTCCTTCCTGAATACGAGCCCCGCCGGAGTCGTTCAACCCGATGACGGGGGCTCCGACCAACATGGCCTGGTCCATGACCTGCAATCAAATATAGTTTTTGTGATAAATTACTGAAAATTGGAACCTCGATGTTTAAATCTAATTGATAATGCAGTGGCATTCCTTACAAATAATGTCTGAGCATGGTTCCCTCTCTTTACCAAATGCAATCATGGGATCCTCTTTTGAACTTCTCCTTCACACAGTACCTTTTAAAACTCAAGATTCATTTTGTTCAAGGGAAAGAAATTATAGTGTTCCTCCTCCTCCTGAAAAGGGGCCCCCAGGAGGGCTGGACATGCAAAATTTCAAGTTTCCATTTCAGCTGAATTCATTTGATGGAAACTTTTGGAAAAAAGAAACCCACAAAAAAATGTGCCTCATGGGGATGTAGCCAGTTTCATTTTTTTCTGAAACCAGCACTTCAATTGTTTGAAAGGTATGCCTGGATGCATACAGGTAATGCCGGATGGTACCACAGGAGTATGCCATTCATATACGAGTCAACATTTTCATATTTTCACCTAAGTTTCACCTACATGTGGGGGGGGAGGGGGGGCCTTGACAGGCAAAGCTTTAGAGATGTGACAACACTGACTAACGTCTGAAAGAACCGTACTTACGACCTCTCTGACGGAGGTTTCTGCCACTTCAGAACCCTCTTCTACATCCGTTGTGCGGGTAACTACTCGGGCACGGGTCAGTGGTGGCTCAGTGGACCTTTGAAGAAACAACCCAAAAGAAATGCATAACATTGAACAGCAGACAGTAGATAAACATTAAGAGAGGTGGATGAGGGGGACTTTCATTTTCACTGAATAAAGAAAATCAAAATCAGGCTCAGATTTCACTTTCACCTTCAATTCAGGCATATTCTACTTTGTACTTGATTTTTTTTCCTCAACAAAAGTGAGATCCAGGGCTAGTTCATCTCTAAAAATCAGAGATTCTAGGATCTTTTGGGTGTCCAAAATATTTGGCATCGGTCTACAGATAGACATAATTGAATAACTAGAAGTGAAGTGAGAACTTGGTCAATGGTTCGAAGGTACCGTTTTACTTATACAATGTAATAGTCCACTCTCAAAGAAATGAAAAAGGAGTTTTATAGATGAGTACAGTAAAATTTCCCATTTATTTTCTAGCTTTTGAATTCACTGTCAGCATTAATGAATACTAATATTAATAGACCAGCAGATTCTAAACACTTCCTATCCCATATATGCAGAATGGATGATAAACTTATAATAAATTAGCTAGTCAATGTGCTTGACACAGACTTAGAAGTAATTCTGATAATTACAGCTAACAGAAAAAAAGAAATCATTCTGGCAAAAGTCATTGTTTCCTCACATTCCAATCAATTAGAGGTTGTGACTGAACCTGGCAAGGGAGTCCTCCCTCCACTGGGGGGAGAGCTGGACTCCAAGAATTACATAGGGAGATGTACATGACATCTGGCAATCTAGGCAATTTTCGATGCTGTGTACAAGGTGTGCACAGAGAAAAGTTCATGCCAGTTTGGACATCCCCTTTGGAGGAGGGATGTGTGCAAGAGATAAATACTGATTAAACACTGGAGCCCATAAGGAAGTTTATTCAAGGACTTTCAGCTGAACCAATTTTTAGTTAACACTGCATTTTGTCTCTTAGATTATATAACTCATGTTTCTTTTGATGACTGCTTTTGTTTATAGCCAAAATGGTTTGTATACTAACCAAGGAGCAAAGTATTTTAGGCATTAGTTCATCGATCAGGTCAACTTACTCGAGAGTGAATTTACCAGTCCTGTATGTAGCTTGCTGCCTTCTGGGTGTACCACACGAAAATACACGTAGATACGAGATGATCCTCGACAGACCATAACACTGAAAAACGACTTCTTAGCCGCCTACGTAGCTTGACTGCATATTTATGCCATCTCGCGTGTGGAAATCGGCATATCTGTTGCATATCTGGCACTAACACCAGAAGGTGCAGGCATAACACACCACATAACGTTGAACCTACCACATGCACATGTGGAGTCTACACCTCACATAACTGGTACTCAACTGCAAATTAACATGGCCTACTCAGGCAGGTGCGGCAATGAAGTTCAAAAGGCTCTTCTGCTGCTTTTTCTTTTGTTGCAAGGTCATACTTGAGCATGCTTGTATGGTCACAGTCACCTACCCAAGGTCATTTTATAACTTGGGGATTTGTCTTGCTTTTTCCTATTGTGACTCAAAACAATCCAGGAATCTCCATTCTGTTAACATTTTTGTTACAGATACAGGCAAGATGAGGACATGTTGCAAAGACATATTCACTGGCATGCTCAAGCTATGATTTACTGTACTTTACAGGCTAAAATGATGAGTGACTTTTCATCTGTTGTATGCCTTCGGATCCACATAAAATACAGGAAGGAACACGACGACCGACGTTCAAAAGTCCATCCGCCTCTTTGTGCCTTCTCGGAATTTACCATTCGACGAGATGCACCGAGGTGGTGCTCTACTTTTTAGGGGTGGAGGGAATTTCATTCTGGACTTCTCCCAAGGCTAGTTGATCCCTGTTTCATTTTGGGCTGCTCACTGGATACTTTCAGAAAGTATCTGCTGCATGAAGCAAAAGTGCTGTCATCAGTTCTAGACCTTTATAGATGATGCAAAGATCCCAAATCATGGCTGAAACTCTCTTAATTATCCAAGATACAATGTTTTTCCACTTTATTTTATTATCATACTGAGGTATAGGTCTTGTATGTTTGACACCAATAATGTGGCTTGTACATGATGAGCCACTTTTGGTGGAAGGGCACATAGTAAATGTTCCATCATAAAACCAATATTAAAAAAAGGGTTTTCCTTCTCGTAAAGCTACATCCCAGATCCGATGTCGTTGGTCGACAAAAGCAACATGACATTTTACATCTCGTTGACACCGATGCTTACATACTGGGAAAAAATTGCTGTGAAAACACCTTCAGCAGTGTAAAAATGCCAGACTAGTCCTGTTACAGTGATGGGTCTGGACTTAGGCCTAAGGACTATTTTCATGGTAATCTACTGGAATGATGCATCCAATACGTGCAATTTTACCTCATTTCGAGTCTTAATCTTACTTTAGGCCGAATCATATGTTTCTACCTTCTGCCGGTCCATGCCGAAATCGCTGCAGGTGTGTTCGGCAAACTTGTCGTATTCCACGAATGTGCCTTGATCGCAGAGGATGTGGATTCTCTCCCTGGCAGTCAGCTTACCCTGAGAAATGCAAATTATACGAAACAAGTGGTCAATCGACGGGGCCCTTTGAAAGGCTGATTTAAAGGATTTTGCTTTTTAGCACTGCGCGATTTTATTTCTATTTGGCACGTGAGGAGGCGAGTGTGCACATCCGGTGAGAGAAATAGCAAGGGACAGAGAGAGCCCGTCTCAAAATCGATACGAATTCCTTTGCAAATTAAGGCTGGAGTGCCGGGCAAGGCAGACCTTCTTGTGCTGATTTTCGATTCTCTTGGGGCCGCCGCCCATGGCGGCTTCTTCCCTCTTCTTCTTTATCCTCTCCTTCACGGAGACCGTCTGAGCGATGGAGCACCATCGTTGCGCCAAATTATTCGGCAAGAAGAGATTCTTCTGACCGAAGACCGAGAGGGACACTCGACCGCACAGCGTCATGACTGGAGCCATCTTTCCCACTGCGGTCCCTGCGGTCCCTCCCCGCACCGCAGAGACCTCTCCCTCATCCCCGCCGCCCCGTAGACCCCAACGCCTCCCCGTCCCGCGGGAATAGAGGCGCCCCGCCCGCACCTCCTCCCTCGGAACCGCGGTCCCCCCCGCACATGAGCTCCACGTGGGTACGACCTTCAGGAAGGTCGGCCGGATTCACTTCACTCTTGAACCAGTTACCAAGCTTCCATGGCAAAATGAATATGTTACATTATCAGGTGAGAGTTTCTTTACTTTTTCCTCAAAATATCTACTCATGTCATTTTAAAGGGTAAATAAAAGAGTAGCTTATGAATTCACTGTCACCATTAATGAATACTAATAGACCAGCATATTGTAAACACTTCCCATCCCATATATGCAAAATAGATTATGAACTTATAATAAATTAGCAAGTCAATGTGCTGACACAGACTTAGAAGTAATTCTGATAATTACAACTAACAAAAAAAGAAATTATTCTGGCAAAAGTCACTGTTTCCTCACATTCCAATCAACTAGAGGTTGTGATCAAACCTGGCAAGGGAGTCCTCCTTCCACAGGGGGAAGAGCTGGACTCCAAGAATTACATAGGGAGATGTACATGACATCTGGCAATTTTGGATGCTGTGTACAAGTTGTACACAGAGAAAAGTTCATACCAGTTTGGACATCCTCATTGGAGGAGGGATGTGTGCAAGATATATATACTGATTAAACACTGGAGCCCATAAGAAAGTTTATTCAAGGATTTTCAGCTGAACTAATTTTTAGTTAACACTGCATATTGTCTCTTGGATTATATAACTCGTGTTTCTTTTCAAACCTGTTGATGACTGCTTTTGTTTATAGCCAAAATGGTTTGTATACTAACCAAGGAGCAAAGTATTTTATGCATTAGTTCATTTATCAGGTCAACTTACTCAAGAGTGAATTTACCGGTCCTCTATGTAGCTTGCTGCCTTCTGGGTGTAACACGAAAATACACGTAGATACAAGATCATCCTCAACAGACTGTAATACTGACAGACTTCTTAGCTGCCTACATCGCTCGACTGCGTATTTAGGCCATCTCGTGTGTGGAAATCGGCGTATCTGTTGCATATCTGGCACTAACACCAGAAGGTGCAGGCATAACACACCACATAACACTGAACCTACCACCTGCAAATGTGGAGTCTACACCTCCTATAACTGGTACTCAACTGCAAATTAACATGGCCTACTCAGGCAGGTGCTGCAATGAAGTTCAAAAGGCTCTTCTGCTGCTTTTTTTGTTGCAAGGTCATACCTGAGCATTCTTGTAAGGTCACAGTCACCTACCCAAGGTCATTTTATAACTTGGGGCTTTGTCTTGCTTTCTCCTATTGTGACTCAAAACAATCCAGGAATCTCCCTTCTGTTAACATTTTTGTTACAGATACAGGCAACATGAGGACATGTTGCAAAGACATATTCACTGGCATGCTCAAGTTATGATTTACTGTACTTTACAGGCTAAAATGATGAGTGACATCCAAAGGCATACAACAGATGAAAAATCTGTTGTATGCCTTTGGATCCACATAAAATACAGGATGGAACACGACGACCGACGTTCTAAAGTCCATCCGCCTCTTTGTGCTTTCTCGGAATTTACCATCCGACGAGATGCACCGAGGTGGTGTTCTACTTTTTGGGGGTGGAGGGAATTTCATTCTGGACTTCTCCCAAGGCTAGTTGATCCCTGTTTCATTTTGGGCTGCTCACGGGATACTTTCAGAAAGTATCTGCTGCATGAAGCAAAAGTGCTATGTCATCAGTTCTAGACCTTTATAGATGATGCAAAGATCCCAAATCATGGCTGAAATTCTCTTAATCATCCAAGATACAATGTTTTTCCACTTTATTTTATTATTACTCAGAGGTATAGGTCTTGTACATTTGACACCAATAATGTGGCTTGTACACGATGAGCCACTTTTGGCAGAAGGGCACATAGTAAATGTTCCATCATAAAACCAATATTAAAAAAATGGTTTTCCTTCTCGTAAAGCTACATCCCCGATCCAATGTTGTCGGTCGACAAAAGCAACGTGACGTTTTACATCTCGTCGACACCGATGCTTACATACTGGGAAAAAATTGCGGTGAAAACACCTTCAGCAGTGCAATAATGCCAGACTAGTCCTGTTACAATGATGGGTCTGGACTTAGGCCTAAGGACTATTTTCACGGTAATCTACTGGAATGACGCATCCAATACGTGCAATTTTACCTCATTTCAAGTCTTAATCTTACTTTAGGCCGAGTCATATATTTCTACCTTCTGCCGGTCCATGCCGAAATCGCTGCAGGTGTGTTCGGCAAACTTGTCGTATTCCACGAATGTGTCTTGATCGCAGAGGATGTGGATTCTCTCCCTGGCAGTCAGCTTACCCTGAGAAATGCAAATTATGCGAAACAAGTAGTCAATCGACGGGGCCCCTTGAAAGTGCTGATTTAAAGGATTTTGCTTTTTAGCATTGCGCGATTTTATTTCTATTTGGCATGTGAGGAGGCGAGCGTGCACATCCAGTGAGAGAAATAGTAAGGGACAGAGAGAGCCCGTCTCAAAATCGATATGAATTCCTTTGTAAATGAAGGCTGGAGTGCCGGGCAAGGCAGACCTTCTTGTGCTGATTTTCGATTCTCTTGGGGCCGCCGCCCAAGGCGGCTTCTTCCCTCTTCTTCTTTATCCTATCCTTCACGGAGACCGTCTGAGCGATGGAGCACCATCGTTGCGCCAAATTATTCGGCAAGAAGAGATTCTTCTGACCGAAAACCGAGAGGGACACTCGACCGCACAGCGTCATGACTGGAGCCATCTTTCCCACTGCGGTCCCTGCGGTCCCTCCCCGCACCGCAGAGACCTCTCCCGCATCCCCGCCGCTCCGTAGACCCCAACGCCTCCCCGTCCCGCGGGAATAGAGGCGCCCCGCCCGCACCTCCTCCCTCGGAACCGCGGTCCCCCCCGCACATGAGCTCCACGTGGGTACGACCTTCAGGAAGGTCGGCCGGGACAGAGCAGCGCCCGCTGCCATCTCACCCGGACGCACCGCGCGCATGGCCCCAATGCACATGCTCGCCCTTCCGCGATTTCCAAGGTGTTCACTCCGAAGCGACCGCGCAGTTTCCTCACGTGTAAGCATACCGCTTCTTGTTTCGTTGGAATTGTTGGTGTGGAATGAAAACAAACGAAAGGCTTTTTTTTTCATCACCCAAATGAATTGATAGCATCAATAGTAAAATACTGGTATGAAAAAAAAAAGTATTTAAGTTGAACTCCCTCCAACTCAGAATGTATAATAATGAAGGAAAATCAATAAATAATGAGTTAAAAATTTGAGACGAGGTTTCATATACGAGCAATCTATTCTCAGGTGAATATTCTCAATCTATTCTCCTCTCATACTTCTTCGGTGGAATGGCCCCGAGGAATGAAGACAGGTTTCTTTTTTTGTGTGGAGCCTCCCTCCCATTCTCATGCATCCCAGGTACCATACCATTTACATTCCCTTTCTACAATCGCCTCAATCGAACCATGGCTCAGCGAGGAATCCGGACTGATTGTCGATTGAGGCCGGAATGCATCCATCGGCATTTGTCGGCGATTTAATCGGTGGAAAGGAAGACGGCAGTCGCGAACCGAAACCGAAACGGATCGACGACCGACAGCGGCAAACAGGGTCCGAATCTCAAATTCCAAAGGCCCAGTCCGAATTTTAAAAGGCTTCTGGAAGTCGGTCCGCTCGTGGCGCCATCTTCAGGGTAGACATCGAGGCGATGGTTGTGGAACGGCCCGCAAGGCGGCGGGCGCGTCGCCCTCCAGTCCTACCAGACGATTCTCCATCGGTTTCTCCAGCGGTTTTTCCTCGTCGTGAAACGTCCCGAGGGAGAGAGGAGGATTCTCCATAGGCGACGGCTGAGTTATCATCGGGCCTCCTTTTTCTTTTTCCTTCGATCACTTTTGCTCTCGTCCGTGGGGCACGATTTGGTCTTTGGACTAAAAAAATGTCGATCGAAGCGAAGACTGGAAAGCGGGTGGATGCGGGCGAGACGAAGGCCGGGTTCGTTTCGTGGCGATTTTGCACCAAAGTTGGCATTCATCGTTGCAAATTTGGGATTTGAGATTTGGTCAGGGAGGGGAAGGCCTCGAAGGATGCAGATCGCAACGCGCATGCGCGTACGGCGCGGGCTTTCTGCGCGGCGCCGTGGCTCTCCTCGGGGCGACCTTGAAGGCCACGTCGAAAAGATCGAAGGTGGTAAAGGGCAGATGAAGGCAGGGAGGAAGGGACGTCGTCCTTTGCAGGAGGATGTTCTGCCATGATTTCGTTCGATCGGTTTCTCACGCTAAAGATTATATTCTCTCTTGGCAATCGACCAACTTACAATTCTACTTCTTAAAACGAACTCCCTTCATTTCCAATAAGGGAGGCGGGGAAAAAATGTAGGGAAAAAATGCGGGGAAAAAATATGGGGGAAAAATGTAGGGAAAAATACGGGGAAAAATGTGAAAGAACACCGGTAACGAGAGCTGTCAGTTCCCTCCCGACCTTCGTGGCGGGTGGATGCGAGCGGGAGCAGACCTCCGCCCTCCCGTCGCTGTTTCGTTTCTCTAGGTTTGCCGAATATAAATGAGAAATGAGGTTTTTGGTGGTGGAAGACCGGAGCGAGATGCAAGTTTGTTCAATTAGGTGAAGAAAAATGAGGGCTTTCATTAGCCGTAAGGCCACTGCAGGATTGTGCTTGCCCGGCTTCTTTCGTGGGGAAAGCGGATGAGCACGCAAGCAAGTATTATGGCTCCGTTCTTTTTCCGGCTGTTTCTCAGGTCGGGGAGCGAATGCGTCGCATTTACGTGTTCGATCTGTGTTGCAATCGTTCGATCGTGTTTGTATCGGTTACCGGTCGATGGAATCGCGCATCCGAGGAGACGGAGACGATGCGTTGGAAGCAAGAATGAATTTATTCCGGCAGGTGTCGCGAATGCGAGCGAATTGGATCGCGGAGAGTCTGAAGGAGCTTCTTGCTTCATCGACGGCCGATCCCGCCGGACGAGGATCCGGTCGCTCCTGCAATACGAACGGTCGGAGGTCAAAATGTGAAGGTCAAAATGTAAAGGTCAAAATGTAAAGGTCAAAATGTAAAGGTCAAAATTTGGAGGACGTCCGAGGAGCTCGAAGGTCGAGGGCACTCGCCTCCGATGCTTCCGGCGAAGTCTCCGGCGATGGGCGAGTGGCCGCCGTAGGTGGCGCCGAAGCCGCCGCCGGTCGAGCCGCCGCCGAGGCCGCCGCCGCCGGCCCCGCCCGAGGTGGCCCCGTAACCGCCGCCGTAGTTGTTGCCGAAGCCGCCGAAGGGGCCGTTGGCGCCGAAGCTCCCGCCGAACCCGCCGCCGGTGGACCCACCGCCGACTCCAGCTTCGAGGAGAGGAACGCAAATTGGCAACTACTTCCGTGATACCTTTTACTCTTTCCCGTCGGTCTTAAGCCGTACGAGAGCAAAAAAAAAAAAGCTTTAATTTGGGTCCTTACTGGCAAGCCACTCTGACTTCCACTAAAATTTCCGCTTTCTGAAGTGCATGACCTCGAGCCTTTTTTTTAATCATCATTAAGGCTTCGTTTCTTCGCAGGCGGACCCGCGTGCACCCCACAGAACGATTCCAAACGAGCCAAAGGAAAGAGAGAAGGAACGGGAACGTTACCGGGTACGCCGAGAGGTGCACCCCCGATCCCACCTCCGTACGGTGCACCCCCGAACCCGCCTTGTCCGTAGCGTTGGGGGTATCCCTCCAGGGCACCGAACACGCCGCACAGCAACAAGGCAACCTGTTGGGGTCGCCAGAGAGGTGCCGTTCAAGTGCTTGCATTCGTTCCTTTCGATCGCGGTGAAATGTCTGGAACCTTAATTACCTTTTCTTTCGTCTTACTAATTTTAGCGGAAAAGCAGACGAACAAATAATTCTCGATTTTGAACGGACTTTTAAGAGCTTACAGGGCGGCCTGAGGACATGACACGCCGATGCGGGAAAACGCTTCAAATTAGGAGAAGAAACGGGGGACGCACCTCGAGGAACTTCATGGTTCTGGCTGGGAAGGAGGCACGGAGAAGAGCGAGGGGATTGTGGAGGATTGTGGGGGATTGTGGGGGGGAGACCTCCCTTTTTGATGCTGTTGGGAGGTTGATACCTTATCCGAGGAAGTGGAGGTTCTCTCGTTCCCCCCTTCTCGGTCGGCGGGTTCGCGATAACCGCGGGGTTTCCCCTTTTGCCCTTCGCGTTTCCTCCGTGGTCGGCGTGAGACAGGATGAGACTCCGCTTTTTTTTCACACGATGCCGATCCTCTTGCTTTCCCCTAACAAGGATTACTAGATGACGGAATGGGCTGGCAGGGACGAAGAGAGTTCCAGGAATTTTCTTCCGCCTTCGAGGGAAGGGGGGGGGGGGAGTCACGTCGTTCCCGCCGAGCTAGTTTCGGTTTCGGTTTTTTCTCTATAATATGTTATCAGGGAGGCGATGTTAATCTGACGAAGGAGCAAGGCTGATCCGAATCCGTGAGAAAGGAAACGGCCAAGACAGCCCCAACGATCTGGGAAGTGGGAAATCCCCAACAGCCTCAAGAGACGACTTTCCCATTTTCTATGCAGCGTATTTTAATCCAGCGTATTTTCACGTGGAATTATGAATCGCGTCAATATTGCCGTGAGATCGACTCGACCGAAAAGATACATGCTCGATGTTGAGGCGACGTTGCTGTGCCAAATGGAATCGGCATTCTTCAAGGACACGGAAATTGTTGGAGCTCCCAAACGAGCGAGACCGGATGAGAACCTCCAGAGGGAAAACCGTTCGCCTCCCACCGGGAAGCCGGGCGAGCTCGATGGAGGCATTCCCGCCCTGCGGGGGGCTGAGGCCCAGGGCCCGAAAAAAAAAAAAAAAAACGGGAAGGGTTTCTTCGCTGATGCGAGCGCCGCTCTTTCGGCGTGACCCGGCTTCGAGACTCTCGTTCGGTCACGAAGGAAAGATTGAAAAGATTGTTTTGTGAAATATTGCAAGCTGGCAAAATCCTGAAATGCAATTATGAGATTTCTGGAAGCGATTGCTTCTCAGCCTTCGCGCACGTCCGGGAAGAAAAAAAAAACAGGTTCTCCCCTCAAAATCAAATCTCCTCTCAAAAATTTCAGGTGCAAATCTGAGTCTTAAAAATGGAACAAGTTGATCCTAGTAAGAGAAACCAATGTTGACGCAACGTGCGGCCGGTGTTGAGCTTCAACGTTCATCCGAGTACTGCGACGAGCGACATTTAAATATTAGATTAATGTCAGATGTAATGCCACCTGGGAAGTCTAGTGGTCGGTGGCTGGTGGTTTAGAGACAGGAGACTGGAACGGCCCTTCTCGCCGTCGCGACGGTTTGCTCGTGAAGCCGACGGCTTGGGCGAAGAACGCGACGAAGAACACGAGCAGAAACGAATGGCAAAACTCGATCCTCTGCCATCGTCCCGAGTTTGCGGTGCCTCTTCGAGCGAACTCTCCCAAGCGAGAGTCCCAATTGGCACAGGGTGCGAAGGCAAAACTGCAGAATCCACCCTAACGCATGGGAATCGCACGATATGCATGTAAAAGACCCATTTCGGAAATCGTGAAAAGGTTCATTAGGGACGAATCGACCGGCATTTTCTAGGCAGACGGAAGTGTGCCGGAAGGCAAGGGTCCTCCTCCCCTCCTTCCCCCCCCCCAACACACCCCTCCCAATCCCCCCAGCCAAAGGTATAAAAGCAGAAATATTCTCCGCGGATCGCACAGTCTTCCACCTCCGACAACAACGTCTCCCTCGTCTGGTAAGTCCTCACTTTTTCATTCCGATTTTCCCATCGTTAGTGTGGTGTCGAGTACGAAGGAAGCAGTTGTCTTCATATCAGTTGTTCCTGCTGACAGGCTCTCATGGTGAATTCCGATACAATCGCTGAGATTGTATAGGAATAATAATTGAGATTAAAGGACTGGATTGGTAACTTTGTTTTACCCTTCAACCGCCAGTAGTAGCAAATGTCCTGTTACTAGCGACGCAGCAAGCTATGTGGAAAATAAATTAATCTGCTTTTATCTTTATTCTGCAACTAAGATGTTCAACTACTGTCCTTCTTTAATACAGGAAAGAGACAGGGGAGGAACACGAATAAAAGCCATTTCATGAGGCTTCGTCCATTTTTGAGGGCTAAACTCTTGGATCTCGACCAAATGCAAGGCAACAGCTTCATCTTCAAGCCTGTTATGGAAATTTAAGGGAGTAATCCCGGGAATGACAGGTCGGCAAACCTCCTGAGTATCCCAGGGAAAATCATGAGAGCATGCTGAGGGGCCACTTCTTGGATTTCCTTGAAGGTAACGTGCTCATTCGGGACTATGAATAGTGTTTCAGGAGGCGCCGACATTAGCACCAATTTGCTCGAGTGCTACGACTGGGCGACGGAAGGGATAAGGGAATCTCGTAGACATCGTCTATTTAGATTTCGCGAAAGCTTTCGATACCTGTCCTTAGAGGTTGCGGGTTAAACGGGAGGCCTAAGGGATCCAGGGTAGGACGAGGGAGCGGATTAGTAGTTAGTTGACAGGAAGAGAGCAACGAATGATAAATGGGGTACTGTCGGAGGTGGTCGTAATCGTAAGTGGTGTCGCCCAAGGCTTTTCTTGGACAGCTTTTAGTCTATGTATAAACGATTTAGATCTCGCAAGATTTAGATCTAGAAAGTGGAGACGGACGACGGAAGGCATGAGAGGTCGAAAGAAGCCAAGAAACGGCTTTCCGGCCAACGGAAAGCGTTGATGGCCAAGCCTATGGCCTAAAATAGCAGCGCCTCAAGAACCAGGCGCTTTGAAGGGTGGATGGCCTAGCCCATGGCCTGAAGTGACAGTAGTAGGCCTCGCGCGCTCCACCACATCACGATAACTCTCGGGCTCTTCGAATTAACCCTTACTAGCGGCCGCTACGCTGGCCGTCTAACAAGTAGAAATTTGAATCGTCTGTTAGCATCACGTCTCCTTGACAATCCTCTCTTCATCGCGTTGACCATTCGGAACTGAACCGCTTCATTACATTTAAACAAATATAGTTTAATATATAGCACAAGGAGGTTCCGTTCCTAAACACCATCACGATATTCCAGCTGACTGCCACAATCGTTCATTGAACGGTTTAGCACGTTTTCATGAGACTCAAGACGACTTGATTTCGTCTCCCTACCATGTTCAATACTCTTGCATCACCGATTAGTTCATGTGCTATTAGCGTTAGCATATAGTACAGACACCAATGATTCTGAAATACTAGTCTGGACCATTTCCAAGAACTTGTTCGAAGGCACAAAGGGAATTACATGTGCGGCACAATGCTGGCGACTAATTCCAGAAAATGCCTCGCCTCCACATTACCCTGAGGCTCAAGTGTTGCTCACTGCTAACGTGAGTTGCAGCAGGAGCAATTTCCCGTCGTGAAACAAATGCCTCCTCCCTATATCAAAATGTATAGCCTGACAGTGCTCGCTTCGCAAACGACTTTAGTGATTTGAAATGACATGGAGAGGCATGTGACGTGACATGCCCCGAATTCCGTGGTGCACACCTGACCGGCAAGCAGGAGGTTCAATTCCCGGCCGCCCCCCATTTATTTGTACAGCATGCCCTTTACAGAAAGAGGATACAAGATGAGAGGAGGTACAGGAAAAATCCTAATTTTGAAATATGCACCCTTAGCGTAGACTATAGGAGGGAAGTATTTTTGAAAATGTATTCTCCACCCTTATAAAAAGGGACACACGAAAAGAAATTAGGCACACTAGAAATAATAGAAGTAGTGATTTTTTTTATTCACATGTATTCTGCGTGACATCTACAAACCGAAAGCAAATATGCGACCTAACAGATAACACTGGAAACTCTCCACATTCAAACTGCTCCCTTTGAATTTTTGACAATGTTTCGCATACAACATGAGAGCATTGAACACATAATGTTTTGACTTCAAAAAACCAAAATAACACACAATATAAAGTGAATTCAATCTCAATTCCGGAGACGGCAGCAAAATTGCGTAATTGTTTCCAAAACCCCTGCACCACAGGGCAGGCCCAAAAAAGATGCACTACATCTTCGACATTTTCGCAACCAAAGCTGCAGGCATAGGTATGGTGGACGTCCATATAGAATAATGTTTCGTTTGTCGGTAAGACGCCTCTTAATATACGAATTTGTAACCATTTAATTTTGTTATCACTTGTAAAATAATTTGCTATAGAGAAGGCTTTGGATAGTTTCTGTTCCGTCATACCGATGGGATACTTAACATTCCATCTTTCTGTGAGGGTAGTAAGGTCTCCTTTCGTTCGAAAGAGGTGGTAAAATCTAGAGCTACCCTTCTGGTCTTTCAACAAGTATTCCACTGCTGTGGGTCTTGAAGGAGAAGTCTCTGGAGAGCCTCCTAATGTAAGTTTTCTTTAAGATTCTCAAGAGGCCCCCGTAATCAAGGAAGTTCACTGCTTGCAAGTTGAAGTTACTTTGAAATTGAGAGAGCGACAATAAATCGCCGCTCTCTGACAACAGGTGGGAGGTAAAAAACACTCCCTTTTGGGCCCACTTTTTATAATTAAGAAATTTACCCGCTAACCTTATCTTATTATTATACCAGAGGGGGAAAACTCCTCCAGTGCGATCCATTAACGTTTCGTTAAAAAATTTCCAGGCATTCATCATTCGTTCATTCATCAGGCATTCGTCTTGCCAAAAGTCATTAAAGTAGCGAGGCAGAGAAAATGCGTTGCCAATTTGAAAAATATCTAAATGAAGAGATCGCCGCCAATTATTATGAAATAAGTTCGTCCAGAAAGTCGATTTAATAAGTAACCTCCTCAACCAAGCCAGTTTTAGTGCTTTCATGAACGCCGTCAAATGCAACATATTGAGACCTCCCATTTCTAATGGGTAATATACACTATCCTTGTTGATCCAGTGTCTTTTCCAGTCCCATAAGTAAGATTGAAGTAGCTTCTCCAGGTACTTTATTTTTTCAGAAGGTGGATTGGGGATACATGCAAGGAGATGGGTTAATTTAGGAATGACAAAATTTCTTATAACACATAATCTGCCAAAAGGGGAGAGCTTAAAATTTTTCCAGGACATCAACGATGCGTTAATATCAGAAAGTCTCGGTTCCCAATTCAAGTTCATAATTTCTGTGGGGTCAGTGGAAAACAAATCCTAGGAATCGAAATTGCGACACCGTTTCCACGTTTCTTTCCACCAGTGTATTATAGGTATGTCCATCCACCTTCCCAATGACTACAGCCTTCGTTTTCCCTAAGTTACATTTTACATGTAATGTACAGAGATTACCATATACATGTACAGAGATTGCCTCTTATCAATTACGAGCTTCAGCGACAGAATTTCCATCCTCTCTCTGATAAACAGGTTCAGCTACATAGCAAAAATTTACGTTTGGTCTAATCAAGATAGCTACGCCCCTAGATTCAGAAGAAGAAGAGAACACATCGCTACCCCATTCGGACCGAATTAAGTAATGCATGTTATCGACAAAATGAGTATTCTGTAAACAAATTGTTTGCGTCTGTTCTAGTCTTCAGAAAATGGAAAACATCTCGCCTCTTGTACCGATTTCCTAATCCCCGACAGATAGCCGATACTATTTTCAGAGACATTTCAGAGCCAAAAAGAAAGAAGGGAAGAGGAAAAAAAAGGACAATAAAAAGGAAACAACAAAAAAAGTAAAGGGGAAAGGTACCCGCTCAAGGAGAGTGGCGATTTGTGAGGGACTGGGTACAAAAGACAATTAGGAAAGAATAATTACGCCCTATTTACTCTCATAGGCTTCCCATCGATTCCTGATCCTCGAGAAGACTTGGAGAGAAAGATCTGTACCCCGGCAGACCACCCTGGTGCTGCTCTTGGCGCAACTTGTAGGCAATCCCCTCCAAGCGTCTCCGTTTCTCCCTCAGAGGGGTTGGAAGGTCAATTTTCATAGATATTTTCTTGCCTGCCAGCATACCTCCATTAGAAAGAACCACCTCCCTATCTTGTACGGAGAGGAAAGCGACCATCATCGGGCGAAATTTCACTCTAGGATCCTCGGGGTCTGCGTTCTCCGGAATACGAGGACGAGGGAGCCTATGTACAGCGTAGAATTTCATGGCTGAGACCGACGAGTCTGGGATACGAAGGGTGGAGAGAAAAAAGTCACGAATGGTTTCTTTTGCGTTTTCCTTTTCTCCCTCGGGCAGACCCTACACCACCACATTCCTTTGCCTTTGGTATACCTCCAGGGCTAAAAGTCTCTCTTCCATGCTAGACAAGGATCCCCCAAAACGTGTCTCCATATCAGGTAACTTCGATTTCGCAATATCCTCTACGACATCACTATCCACCTGACGAGAACTGTCAATGTCATCGACCCTCTTCTTCATGTTGTCAACATCCGTCTTCATTGTATCAAAACCGCGACTCAGAGTCCACTCTAGCTTTCAAATCTGCTTGTTCTGCAATGATGATGCTTCCTGGTAGCGTCGTCCATGAAGCTATCTAATTTCTTGAAGTCAAATTGTCCAGAATAGCTGTCTTCACGACGAACCATACCTTTTTGCGCGGAACGAAGCTTATTCACATTAGGGAGACTGACCGATCGAAGTACTGCCGAGTCTTGATCTTCCTTCTCGTAGGTCCCAGTAAAAGATGAAAAGGCAGATGCAGCGTCCTCGAGTACGTTCACCATTTCGCAAACTTTTGTGCCGACGAAAGGCTCAATTGACAATTGCCTTTCCTTTTTCGGTTGGGCATGAAACAGATCTAGGCCCAGGCCCACTATAGCACCACTCAAACAGACATGGAGCAGACAGGTCCACGCTTCATGGCTTCCACAGCCAGACAAAAGTAATGATTTTGATAAAAATGAAGACCATATGTCACGTCACGTATGTCACGTCCCATATGTCACATATTCCAATGGGACGTACTTTAAATACGTGTTTCCCATTTCGCAAAGAATAAATGAATTAATTACTATCCAAGGTAATGGAGCGCCGAAGGCGCGACCACAACGAGTATGTATGCCCGAAGGACAAACAAACTTGCTAGTATTAAAGTCTGAGGTCGACACTCATGCTCAAGTGGGATTTTCGCAAGTCTCGTGTATTTTTATATAATTTTTTGGGGGGCTTTTGGGAAGGAAGACAATAGAAATTCTGCAGAATCACGCATTTCAATTTTTCGCGCGGCGCATTCCATTTTCCTGGTTCAATTCGCAACAGCAAATTGTTTTTTTTTGTGGGGGGGGGGGGAAGGGGCGAAAAAAGAACAAAATTTGCTCGACACGAGAAAATGTCAGTCGTCATGAAATATTTCACTTCATATTAGAGAAATTAATTTCGGTAATTAATTAAATACTTATAATTACGAAAATTTTTCGAGCAACATTGGGATTTATTTGAAAGAATGCCTTCTTCGTGTTATAATTATTCATGAATAATGTATGATATTATTGGAAGAGCTTCATGCCACACTTGACACGTGTGGAAACAGTGCTCACAAAAGCTTTCATCGTCCAAGGCACAGGTAGGTTCATCGACGGGCTAACGGAATTACCGCTTTTATACCCACATGCTTCACTACAAGACTCGTCTGAGTCCTCGCGACAATCACACAATTGCGAACCGAGATGAGATTCGAACAGTTGCAGTTGCCATCTTGAAACAACCCCGATCTCATCGGGAATGACGCTTCGATAATCCGTCACCTTTTCCATGAAAGCCTCTTTGTGTCCTCTTTAATCTTTTCCTCGATTCCTGACTCAACAAAAAGGGAAATCGTCACTAAAATGTAATGAAAGGTAGCATCATCAAATACACATCGTCCACGAAGAATTGATGGAATGACGACCGTTTGCGTCATCAAAAAGCATGGCCTGGTTCGCTTCCCTTCAGATTGTCGTTTTCGATTAATGAAGACGATTCAGCTTAATGACTTCGTAAAATGAGATAAGTAATTCTGATAGGAACAGGTAAACAGGTTCCAGTCTTTCCTACTCCGGGCCGATCGACAGGGTAATATAAATTGGGGTAAAATTGGGAGTTTTTAATGTTTGCAGCCTGAAAGAATATGCTAAGAAAAAATATAGAAAATCTGTTGACAGAGGAACTCATACTAGAATTGTATGACGTACTGTCGAGCGGTTCGATGACCGAAGAAACCTCATTTCAAATGTGTACTCGTACTCGAATACGAATAACCTGATGCGAATGTGGATGTTCATCGTGCAAACCTTTTGCGAGCGTTATGACCGCTCTTAATCTTCTCGGCAGAATCCAAAATAAAAGTTAATAAATAGTCACCAATTTTTACGAGCAACAACTGGAACTTGACATGACTTGTCTTCACAGAGACTTCACATCTCTGGCCACATTTTGCTTCTTCGCTACAACTTTGATTTCTCACGATGAAAGGCTGTCTTCTTCGACGTATTATAATTATTATTTCATTCGTGACGAATATATGATGCTGCTTGAAGCGCTTCATGACACCCTTGACACGCTGGCAAAGAACGGAACAAAGAGGCTTTCTTTGTCAAAGGCACATGAAAGGCACAACGGCGGAGTGGAGTTAATCCATGAGCTGATGAATACCCTGTAGATCGATTAACTGCCTTTGTGCCTTCACGCTTCGCAGCAAGCCAAACTTGAATTTCAGCAATCGCCACATATTTGCGAAACAGGAAATTCATGAAAATTCAATAGGTCTCATTGTTCGATTCGCTATCATGGAAAGGAAGATCTTATGAAAAAGAGAGCAGCGAGTTTACGTGATTTTACTGGAGAAGGCCTCTTTGTCTTCCCGTTAATTCCTGTCTCGAAAGAAGGGGACGTTGGGCGAAGGAGTGACAATTCCATATGGTGACTAAGGGCGAGATTGGGTCAAACTTCTTCCCAAGTATTATCCTCGATCGACGATGAGGCCTGATGACTTTGTATTCGGTAGAATCTATGGGACATAGAGAAGAGGCTGCGTGGAAGGTGTACCACCGACAGACTGAGACTGACTGATCGGGCTGACGTCCCCAAGGCTTGAGCTGAGCATTTGATGCATTTATTCCTTCCATCTCGTTTAGCTTCCGCATGAGATTGCTGAGTTTCATAGGTTCAAGCATCTCGTCTACACGTCTGCTCCTAACGTCTGAAACTCTCGGTCGATCAACAAAGGATGATTTATTAGGATCCAAATGGGAAGTTTTTACTACTTGAAGCTTTTGCAATATTCTGGGAATGAACCGTATTATAGAAAATCCGCCGACAGAGCAACCGATAGGTTAACTTAGAGGAATATGGCCATTGGGATAATATGGCCCTTCGCAATGAAGTCCTTTATAGAGTGAATAATTAGTTTGGGCAAACTATTTTTCATTAGTTTCTCAACTGTCACAAAATACAGCGAGTATTCTGGATGGTGCACACAGGGTCTCACAACTCGCAGTGTCTACAGAAACGGAAATTACCTTTTGACAAGTGGATTCATCGATAATATTTCCATGATGCATATCCCGAAGATTGCCCTGTTTTCACCTTAAATGGTGATTGACGGTTTGGGTCCCATCAACGTCTGTTTCTGCTTCATCTCGAAACTGGACTTCTGCTACTCTACTCCTCGATTGATGGGGAATTAGTTCCTCATTCTAATTAATTCGAGCCGCGTTTCATTGCTGCAGGAAAACTCATCATGTTGATAAAATCTGCGGTCACCACCACGCGAACCACTGAGATTTTTGTGATTCTTCGTTAGTTCGTAATTTCACATAGGTCAATTTAGAGCTTTGGGAGGACGCTTTTGAACTCCTGCCTAATCACTCATTCCAATTTTTCTCCCGACCCGCTCGTTCCAAGTACCTATCTCAATTCACTGCATCTTGATTCCTTTACTTTGATCTTTTTTTGAAGTCATCCAACAGATGAATCAAGCTTCTTCTGAGTTTCATACAGTGTTACATTTATCCCTCAGACGAAGAATGGTCCCGTTCCAATTTGGATATCATTTTGAAATGATTAAATGGGGTGAAAAAAGAAATCGCTCGAAGCGAAACTGGAAATGTGAGGAAAAGAAAACATGAATTTGTACTCGCAATTAACTCATTTGCCACTGGAGTTAACGGTGACGGGATGTTCTAGTTATGAATCTGATATTTCACATAAGTGAAACTGTCTGATCACTCAGTATCGGACATGAATTGCAGATTGACTCGCGCCGATTGCCTAAAACTTGATTTCTAACTGATTCATCTCCTTATTTATTTTATGAATCCTCAGGAACATTAGGTGAAGAAAACCGATTCAGGATTCCTGCTCATATTCGATATGAATTAACATATACGAACGTAAGTGTGACGAATTTCGAGCATCATGAAGTATGAAACATTTTGAAACAGCATTGAAAGATATTTGAAAAGTTTATATTTGACATGATGCCTCTACGCTGTGTTATAAATATTCATGATTAACGTATGATAATATTGGAAGCGTCCCCGGCACAAAGAGGTTCATCGAACAAATCGACAGCCGAGAGGGATAGCCGCTTTTATGCCCTCATGCCTCGCAGCAAGACACGTTTGAGTCCCTGTGACAGGCACGCATTTGCGAACCAGGATGAGAATGAAACTGTTGCGGTCGCCGATTTGGAACACTCAGATCTTATCTATAACGAAACAGCGATAGTCCATCACCTTTTGCATCAAGGTCTCCCTTTGGCTTCCTTTTTGCTGGAAGGCTTCTTTTGTCTTTTCCTCGATTCTTTTCTCAACACAAAGGGATATCGTCTCCAAATGTCATGAGAGGCAGCATCAGCTAGCAAATACTGTGCACAACCTGCACGCAGAATAGATGGTATAAAGACCGTTTTCGTCGTCAAAAATCAAGGCCGGTTTCACATTCCCGAAGATTGTCGTTTTCGATTGAACGATGATGAAGTCCAATGACTTCGTATAATGAGACAGCTAAGTCTGATAGATTCGAACATCTCGTTTACCTGTTTCCTTGTCACTCCGGGTCGATCAACTGGGGAAAATGCTATGGGGTAAAATTGGGGGGGGGTTAAGTTTGCAACCTGAAAGAATATACCAGCAAACCATATAGGAATCACCTGACGGAGGAACTTATACCTGAAATGTATAATTTACTTTCGAACGGGTCGATGACGGAAGAAACCTCATTTCAAATTTTTACTCGTTTTCGAATGCGAATAACGAGATGCGAATGTTGATGTTCATCGTCCAAACCTCTTGCGAGCGTTATGACCGCTCTTAATCCTCTCGGCAGGATCAAAAATTAATGGGAATAGTCATTAATAATATCGAGCAACATTGGGACTTGACATGACTTCGCATCTCTAACCTCCTTTTGTTTCTTCGCTACTACTTTGATTCCTCACGATGAAAGGCAGGTATTATAATTATTATTTCAGTCGTGATAAATATATGATGCTGCTTGCAGCGCTTCATGACACCCTTGACACGCGGGCAGAAGAACGGCGCGAAGAGGCGTTCTTTGTCAAAGGCACATGAAAGCCACAATGGCGGAGTGGAGTTAATCCATGAGCTGATGAATACCCTGTATATCGATTAACTGCTTTTGTGCCTTCACGCTTCGCAGCAAGCCAAACTTGAATGTTCATTGGATTTCCTGTTTCGCAAATGTGTGGCTATTGCGGAAATTCAACAGGTCTTAAAGTTGGAGTCGCCTCCATGGAACGCTAAGATCTCATGAGAAAGAGAGCAACGACTCTACGTCACCTTACGAGAGATGGCTTCTTTGTCTTCCTGTTGATTCCTGTCTCGACTAGAGGAGACGTCGGAGCGATGGAGTGACGACTCTAGATGGTGACTAAGGGCGAGATAGATGAGATAGATGAGATAGATGGGCGAGATAGATGAGATTTGGGTCAACCTTCTTCCCAAATATTGTCATCCTCGATCGACGATGAGGACGAGCTCTCGATCTGGGAACAAACCTGATCCGCCGACAGAGCAACCGATACCTGAAATGTATGTACTTTCGTGTCCGTAGATTTCAAGATTTTCTCAACTGGAAAATTACGAATTTCAGCGAGTATTCTGGACGATGCATGATGAATTGTTGATACCGGGCGGCGAAAAAGGATCGGGTCTTTCCTGTTCCGAGAAGCTAAATCGATGGGCAATGGGGTCTTTGAGACTTCGTCACGAGCCTGCGCAGTCCGGAAGTTCAAGTTTATATGATCGAAAGAGTTTATAAGATCGAAAGTCCCGAAAGCAGTCCATTCTTCGAGGCTCCAGCTTCCCTGAAGTATAGGCTTTGGTCATAGCCTCTTCCGTCCTCTACTTGATGAATATTTTATGATTCAGTAGTGCATCTCGCTTCCTTAAAGGGGAAAAGAGGCGATGGGAGCAAAAGTGGGAATCGACAACGGAGAGAGAGGAAGACCAGCGGAGATCCAGTTCGAAGACGAAGCGACAGAAACGGTCGGCGTCGGTCCTGTAACCACCAGATTCCTCAACAGATTCACCGGACACGTGAGTGGCGTCGATTTGGAATTCATCGACTGGTATGATAATTCATGGCAAATGCTTTAATACATAAGATCCTTCAAGCAGACTATTCGTACGATTTATTGGTGGGTGCTCTCAATCGCGAGTGTGTTCCTCAAATACGCTGTCACGGATGACATTTGGCAGATTGATTCTTTAAGGGAGGAAACATGTACCAATAATGAATATCATTTTCCATCCCCAAAGATGACGGCCGTTATTTAAAACGCGTTTCAAAATCGACATAAACCAAGAACCTCATCCAAATGCTATTTCAGGCGAGAGCACAACTCACGCACACGACTCCACAAGGGAATCGGTTGAGTACCGCACGAATGAATGACGTATTCGCTAGGTTGCCAGTACAATTGAAGCAAAGATGTAGTTTAATATGAAACGATTCCTTTTTCACGATCTGCACCCAGTTCTTGGATATGAAGAACCACGAACCGGTCGAAAAGGCTCCCATTTCAAAGCGAGCAGTTATACCCAGTGTTGGGCGGTAACGAAGTAAAAGTAACGCGTTACAGTAACTAATTACTTTTTCCAGTAAATTTTAAGGTAACGAGTTACTTTTCAGGGGAGGGTAACGGAACTGGTAACTAGTTCCTTTTTCATGGCGAAAGTATATGGCGTTACTGTAACGCGTTCCTTTTCTTGATGATTTACTAAATTTGCTGAAAACAGCCAGCGCTTCATGGCCACATGCATCCTAATTGATGCAATATTGGGAGGAAAGATGGGGACATGAAATGGCCTTGAGAAAACATGGTTTATTCAGTGCAGGTTTCCTGGCCGTACTTGCAAAAATATTTCGATGTGCAGGTCAGAAACGAATTCGAGAGTTCCATCGATGCAGAGACGTATCTATATTTTACAGGGGGTAGCTGCCCCCAGGCGCCTCTGGGACAGCCTATCCCCACTTTAGAGCCAATACTTTTCTCTCCCGATATCTCTCGGGTGGGGTTTGGCTCTATTGCCCTGGCCCCCCCCCCCNCTGGTACTCGTGATAAGAGGCAGGCTGGGGTAGGTCTCCCCATCACCAATGGCTAAATTGGCTTTTTTTTTAAACTAAAGGGTGCATTCTGTCCATCAGTACATAATTCCTGTTAAGTAGCCCATGGAAAGGGAAGAGGCACAGGGAAAAGAGTGAGCATGAGTATTTATCCAGCTAAGTGATGATCATAATTCAATTTTCATGAAATCAGGGGTAACTTTCGCTTTCAGTCCACGCATCCAGCTTCTGTCGAAGAAGTGGAGAAGCTGTAGAAAGATCGGAATTTTTGTTCAGGAAAAGTAACTTGAAAAGTAACTTCTACTTGTAACTAGTTACTTTTGGTGAGAAGTAATTCTACTGGTAACTAATTACTTTTTGGATGAAATACTTGTAATTGGAACTAGTTACTTGTCACAAGTAACGCGCCCAACGCTGGTTATAACACTGGACTCCTGTCGTGTTGTCATATTCTTTCCAATACAGTTTATATCTAAGAAATGATGATATGTTTATGTTGAAAAAGATCACAGGACTGATTTTGCCTCGCAATACAATACTTATTCCACTCACTGACCCATTTTTGTTTGTCGTAACACTCGTTCTTTCCGATAGCCATTAATTGATCAAGGGGACCGGGACGAGATGTTTGTACGGCAGCATTTTTTCAGAAAAACCCGATTTCCAGAATTGGAATCGTGGAATGCCCCCCTCGATCTCCCGATCTCAGCAAATCCACCTAGAAACTCCTAAGCTTGCGAGTGTTTTTGGAATACGTAAATATGTTCATCGATTGCGGAAACATATCGTTTTGAAATCTGTCCCGCACTGTTGCTAAACCTAGATAATACTTGCCCCCGATAATAAACTTTTATGGAAGTTGTGAGGAAAGTCTATCGTGGCATGTTGACAAACGTCATATGCATTTAAAACAACGAGCATATGGTCCACATAACTTATTAGGCTGATTCCTGTTTTTGGACAACACTTTTGTCTCGTTGTTTGCTGCAGTATGATAACAAAATATAGCATAGAACCTCCTTAGTATCTTTCACCAACATGGTTTAACATTTTTAGCAATTTCGAAGAATGGTATTTGGTTTGTGAATGTTAAAGAATCTCGTTTCATTATATGTTTTTTTTTTTTAGTAAAGGGAAGAATCCAAACAGGAAATGAACATATTCATATTGAACATATACAAATTGAAAGTGAACACAAAAAAGTACTCTTAACATATTGGTATCTCTATCCAGGCCCTGGGCCGTTCTACGTACCGGGATTCATCTTTCTTCAGGAAACTCTTCTGGCTCCTCGTATTTCTCACCACCTCTGGCTACATGTCCTACGGAATCATCGAGATCGTCAAAGCATACACGTCAGGCCTAACAACAACCGCCACCCAGGTGGGACGACCTCGATGCTTCTCGTCCGTCGTTTCCGAGTCCGACGTCACCGATAAACATGCCGTTTGCCATTCAGATGGAGCCTCGAGAAATGATTCCCTTTCCGGCCATCATCATCTGCCCTCAGAATTTTTTTCAAGGATATGAGGTCATGCCCTTCGATTTTTCAGGGCTCTTCAGCCCGATGGAACGTCTCGTGACGACTGATGCACTCAACGTGAGCTTTAGAGAACTGTTAAAGTCGGAAGGAACGTACCAACCGGCGAAAGGAGATTTCCGCCCTAGTCTCAATGACGTGGATGGCGTAAAAGTCATGGACGAACCGAAGAAAGTCTGCGTTTCGCCCTTCAAAGAAAGTAAACAGCTGCATACTTCAAGTTTCGGGGATATCGCATATTCGCCCGCACGGCTTATCAGACCAGAGTTCAAGCTATCTAGCATTCTGTGATCTCCAGTGAAAGAATGAACGGAAAATAATAAAAATTTCAGGATTTGTTCTCGTGACAAAGGAGGTGACAGCAAACACTGAAAAAAGGATGTATATTAGTTATGCAGAGGAAAGAAATTGTAAGAAAGATTATAAAGAGATTTCGGAAAAAAAACAATGAATGAGATATATCATATATATTGCAAATACTCGGAAAGATAACGACTCTCAGAGTTATTTTACACTCAATTTTACTAAAGATTACTGAATGCAAGCTGCCTTCAATGCAAGACAGAATTTGCAAGAGAACCTTAACCTAGTCTCATTATGACGCGATGGCATTAGCGCTTCCACGTGAATGAAGAAGTTGGACTCGTTAAAATGAAATTCACATTTTTGAGAATGCATTTCTCTGCAGGCTTGCCATTGATATGGAATTCATTCATCACCGACTTGGAGTTGAAGCTTCATTCAAACAAATTCCTTTTGGACCCGTTCCCGTTCATGGAAAATGTGAAACCTAGAATACTCCATTGCAGCTTCAACGACGAGCCCTGCAACATCACGTGAGGATAATTCCTTCCACATCAAATGGAAATCGAATAGTAACCGTCACAAATGCTCCCGGACGTTGAAGGCTCAGACAAGTTTTTGCTCCTATATTTTTATATATTATCCTAAAATTTAGATTCTATAATTTGTTAATGTGCGGATAAAGGGTCTGATTAAGGGGGATATGAAGTGCCATGAATGTATTTTCTAGCTTCTAAAGAGTCAATCTAGCAGATCAATATTTATTGTAATGATGGTATGACTTCATACTCTCAGCTGCCGAAACGTTCGAGTGCAATATTAATTTAATCTGGTGCGGCTTTTACAGTTGGGTACTTTTTTGCTTAGTGATTTCCAACCATCAAAAGAAGATAGGCTTGGAGAATGCCTTACCTTCAACTACCGCGGTGACAAGAAAGTCCTGCGCCAGAAATCACGTCCTGCAATCGGAAAGAACAAACCAAGTGGGGTATGACCATCTCCTTCGATCAAACTGAGAGGAGAGAAATCTAAGTGATATTTTCTTTGACTTGAATCGAGCAGCAAGGGCTTCGACTCGCACTAGCGCCGTATTTTCTGGAAAAATATGGCGGCATTACTTCAGCGATGGGACACAAGCTTTTCGTTCGGAACCCCCAAGATGTTCCCTATACGATCGAGGAAGGATTCAACATAAACCCGGGAACGGTTTCCTATGTAGGCCTCAAGATGGTGGAGTTTGAACGAATTCCTCTAGACCGTGGGGGGAATTGCGCCACTGATTCCTACATCCTACAAAGATTCGACCCGAAGATATATAAGGTTCCAAATGAAACCGTATATTCCGTGGAGGTAAAGACCAATACCTATAATGGATTTCTCAAGACCGTGGGGGGAATTGCGCCACTGATTCCTACATCCTACAAAGATTCGACCCGAAGATATATAAGGTTCCAAATGAAACCGTATATTCCGTGGAGGTAAAGACCAATAGGATATTACCTAAAGAGTAGACAGCTTCACCCAACGGAGTAACATTAAGGAAAAAGTAGCTTGTCCTCACAGACTTTAAAACGCAACGGAGAGTTAACTACGAGCTGAGGTTCGAGAGGGCAACGTAATACTCTTCGTATTACGAGGATATTGTGTACGAGATTCCTGAAGGAAAATGTTATTTGGGTGAGGATTTTGACATGAGACTTAATTTCGTCATATGCCTTGGCACCTGTTTGTCTTCTAGGTTCAATTGAGAAAGCAATGGAAAAACGCCTCTAATGCGTTGATTTCTTTATTACTCAGACTCAAGTGAAGTGCTTGAAGCTATGAGCTTCAAGCACTTCACTTAAGTTTTGTTTTAATATCGCAGTGTCAGAACTACCATCTGCAACCAAGGCATTCCAAGACCACATTATATGGATGGAGACACAAGCCGAAAGTACCTGCGGTTGCCCTCAACGCTGCATGTGAGCTTCACTCTGTATCCGTTCTCGATCTTCGAAGATACGAAGGTGAAATGATGCTCGCTGGTGTTTAGAGACCAGAGATTGGAGCGGTCCTTCTCATCGTCGCAGATGGGTCGTCACGACAGTTTGCTCATAAAGCTGGCGGCTTGGGCGAAGAACGCGATTCAGACCATGAGAATAGACGAATTCCAAAACTCGACCTTCTGCCATCGTCCCAAGTTTGCACATAATTATAGTATTTTCCGTTAAAACCTAAAATTTGTGCGAATATAATTGCATCACTTTGAATTTTCGTATTTCGTCAGCGAATCACTTTGAATTAACTTCGTGTGTAAATTCTTTGCATACGATATGATTTGCTTCAGGAAAGAATATTTTGTAAAGTAAATAGTCTCTTGGAGGAATTCCTATAGGTTTCTGCTAGCTTCATGAAGCAAAAGTATCGGATTAGAAAAATTAGATTCCTATGGGATTCTTATAGGAATATTATAGGGTCCGAAACTAAACCTAATGGATTATATTGGTTTCCGGTGGGATTCTTGTAGGTATCACAAAAGACTTTAAAGTTTAAAAAATTATAGAATCCTTCATGATTTTTTTGTATGGGATGTCGTCATCGTATAACACATTGCACGTATGAATTACATCAGCTGTGCTATCAGCACCAATAGAATACCCGAAGATTAAGTAATTATGTTTGCCAAAGCTGTGGATGATGAAATGTGATCTCTTCAGCGTTCGAGCGCCAACAAGATGCAAAAACACACCATTTCTCTATATATTAGGAGGGTATTGTTAAGCGTTATTCAATATTTAGTTGTGCACATCTGAAAATTTGAGTTGAATTTCAAATCGGCTAATTGACCATCGGTGCATTTCATTCACATTTTCCTCCATAGCTTTCCTGATGATTAGTCGCGAAAATGACGGAACCAGCACCCAGGAAACGTGATACAAGCGCCAAAGTAACATGGCGCTATAAACCTCATAACAAAGGAATATTCCTGCAACGCTTTCAAAACAGTAGCAGTTTCATATAAATGCCGTATGAAATACTGCTGTACTGATGCAAAGGTACTGTTTCCAAATGGTGGTGGGTCTCTTTCTCCGTTCTGTATACTTTCATTTGCAATTTAAAAAATGCCGAAGATTGAAAAACCAGATACTGGAAAAATACCATTTTTTCAGTTCTACGCTCGGAATGTTATTTCATGGAAATAATTGGAGAGATCAAAATACAATAACCTATTTCGTTTGAAGCAGCATGACATAAATATCAAGAAATTGAAGGTGACGAAATAATTGCTTTCCATACTCACGGAGTCAGCTAAATCTCCTTTGAGAGGATTATGCGGCTCTAACAGAAGCTAAAAAATCCAGCTCCATTTCTCAGAAATAGAGGTGGAACCGTTTGCTCATTCACATGTTTCTTCAGTGAACAGATATCTGTGGTGCACGTCAAATACGACACTATGTTAGTGGAGAAAACCGTGGATATTCAGTTATACCCAGTGAGTCAAGAAATTCCTACGGTTTCCTTCGGCCTCACACAGAAATTGCGTCTGGAAAACAAGTCCCTCCCTTTCTCCGATAGTGGTCGAGTTTCATCGGAACGCTCGGAGGGTTGCTAGGCCTCTACACTGGGATGTCTTTCATCTCCGTTCTGGAGATGCTGGAGTGGATCGTGGACATCTTTTTGTACGGTTGGAGGAAGCCACGTCCTGATACCTTGGGGCCGAAACGACGAGCTTTTCTAATGTGTGAGTTGATGAGTGGCCTTCATGAGCGAGTGGCCACAATTCATAATTCGTAAAAATCCCAGAAACACGGGACTTTCTTTTCTTTTGTTCGGCCTGGCAGGGAGAGACGTGGGTCCTGAAGAAGTGTCCAGAGAGAAGTTCATCCCAAAAGGAGAGCAACTCTTGGGAGATCCGCCAGTCTATAATTGTCCACCATTCAAGGAAATTCGGAGAGCTGCTCTTGACTCTGCCTTCTCTGACCGTCTCTAATGGATTGGCGGGTTTTGCCGGGGGCATTTGTGTCTGTGTGATCCTCACTCTTGCATAAAGCGTTACACTCGTTTTCCATCGGGTTGATGTAGTCCTATTAAGTTACGGAAGCACTCGGTCGGTTATAGTTAGACCTTGAGCAATCGAAAGTATATGGTAACTGTGGCTTTGCAAGGAAATTAAGTCAATAATTGTTAATATGTGACAATTATCTTTCATTGCATGACGCTAGGCGTTCTTCGCCAACGTTCCTTGTGTGCTAATCCGCAATTATTGGACATATCCCCTAAATGCGGGCCTGTAAGTTCTGCTCATTCAATAACTGTCGTTCTGTGAAATAAACCGAATCAATCATTTCAAAAACCGTTCTTTGCCCGTTCCTTGGTCATTTAAACTGACATGACATGAAGGAAAATTCCTATAGGATCCTATAAGGACCCTGTAGGATTCCTATGAGAATCATGTTACTTATTACCTCCTATTATTTACATAATTTACTAAGATTATAATTTTCTTAAACTTACCAATGTTGACCTTCATTGAACAGTTTGGAAACCTAAGAATTTCAGACCGAATGCTAAAACCTCTTGTAGTTAAGGGTCCATTAAGTCTCTTATTTCGCTTAAAGACCCTTCTATCTCTCCTTAACCCTAATTTTTTCTCTGTGGAGTCTTTCTTGACTCCATGCGATGGAAACATTAACAAGAGTTCCTCTCCCATGATTTCATTCTGATACACCTGTTTCGTGGCGGAATGGGATATTTTCTATTTGTAAACTTTGTGTACTGGTCATATATGATAATCGCTCTACCTGACACGTCGTCGCCACGATCTACTCAAATGTAGTCTGAAACAGATTCGAGTCGAAAGAGAGCCAAGACAGTCTTCTAGTTATTATCGAGCTGAGAGCAAGGGAGAGTAATTGAGGTTTCTGCATTCAGGATAGCATTACATATCATACGCGTCATGAATAGTCGGAGTCAAGCTGAATTGACAGATTGGAAATTGTGTTATTGCATTCATGGATGGTGTTGGATAGTGAAGAAATGCAAATCTTATTTCCTTTATTGGAAACTTAAGTTTGTTCTTCTCATTAGAGAAGAAGGCAATTCGCCACTAACCCGCTGATCGATATCCACGGGCCACTCGAATTGCTCGTTAATGGTGCTATAGAGGAAATCTTGAACACAGCTGCCGGAACATCGAAGCATTGGCTATTCAAACGCAGGAGAAGACTGTATTCTTGAGATTCATGTGAATCTCCTGTGAAATGTGAGTGGTTGGAATAACTTTTTTTGTAGGTGTTTCGAAGGAATGCTGAGGTTGTCTCCTGATGGTGAACCTATATACTGATTTAATGCTGGAATTCGATGACGAAGCAGGCTATACATGAAAAAAAATGTGCGAAACGTAAGCAAAAATTAAAGCATTTAATCAGATTTGTAGGCTGCTTTTTGCGATTCTTTTAAAACGATTTTTATGATTGCGAAGGATAAAAAATGGTATCGTAGCAACTGAGAGCTGACTCTGGAATACCACTTAAGTCCATTCAACCCAAAAGCCAGATGTCATGAAACAGTGGGACATTATGCATGACTTCAAGTTTGGCTTTACGTATGCTCCATTTGCATGTTGATGACCTCAGTGAAAGACCTTGAACTGAGAAAATTAATATGGAAGACGAAATGTGGCCCTTGATACTAATGCACTAGCATCCACCCTGACATCTTATACTTTAATTCGAAGAGACCGAGAGTTGTGGTGGTGGTGGTGGTGGTTGTCACCCAAGGGAGCGAGGCCTACAAGACTTTGTCACTTCAGGCCATCCACCCCTGAAAGCGCCCAGTCCTTAAGGCTTTGCTATTCAAGGCCATAGGCTTGGCCATCCAACGCTTATGGTGCCAGGTCCATCGAGTTATATCAGTCTGAGCCATTGGCTTCATACTTAGCTGTCAATCAAAGGGCGGTAATAAATGAATGCGTCTCACGTTTTCACTGATCGACTGCAATTTCTCCATTTGAAT